AGAAATAAACTTCTTGCTTATGTAGCCATTTAGAAGAAAACAAAGAACTTAAAACATATGCCTTTGTTACTCATTATTTATTCATTTTCAATTGCAAACACGAATATCTGTGTCCCACCTACAGTGTCCTCCCTCCTTCTTGCCATTTACACGGCTTTCTTCAACCTTTTCAGATTCAGCGCTGAGAGCCAGCCTGCGTTTGTGCCTCCGAAGCCTCAGCAGGCGGACTGGCCCTTTCTGACTCAGTGCTCTGTCTTTAGAGCAGGGTGCCTGTGCTGGCCACAGCCCAGGGCTTTTCCTCCCCAAGGCCCCTGCCCTCGCTTCCACCTGCAGCATCCTTGCCCTCTGCCACACCCCCTCAGAAGCTGTCCCTTCCAGATGTCCTTGGAGGCTGCCGTCTGCCAGCCGTGTTCCCATGACACACCCCAGCAACGCTTAGGTATCGGCTGAAAAGTCCTTTGAGATCATCTGCATCTTTTCATCTTCCAAACCAGAGATGGCAGCAATGTCAACAGAAGCTGAGGAGCAGCATAGAAAGATTTCTGGAGGAACGGAGCTGCACACGAGCAGGATTCTGAAGTCCTGTGTCTCTGTGGGGAGCCTGAGAAATCCACCCGAGGACCGTGCAGTGCAACACTGGTGCCGTCCCCAACCCCGTCCCCAACTTACCCTGGGGCTGGCCTCCAGGGGCCCTGGGGAGGCCCACTTGGCAAGGTAGCCGGTTTTGGCTTCTCTCTCCCGTCTCACCTGCCTGCTCCTCGGGGGCAGCATCGGCTGGAATGAGTGCTAAGCCGTCTACCGGCACACCCCGCTTCAGCTTTTGGTTCTGGCAGAGCCTACGACAGCAATTTGAAATTACTTAGCTCTGCGTGCAGGGTGCTCCGACATCCTCATGCATGTCGAGACTGACCAGAGGGTGAGGGTCTTAACCCACATGCCTCTCCCACCGGGCTGGCGAGTAGCGGCCCTGTCTAACGGATCTGTCTCTTGCAGATTCTTTGTAAAGTGAGGAAACATGGATGAGCCAACACGAGATACTCCATAGGCCCAGACGCCGAAGTCCTGGTGGGGATTTGTAAGATGCAGCAAATCGATCCTCCACTATTTATTTTAGCAAATGTGCTTACTTAGCTCAACCTGGTCCACAATCGGTAGTGAATGAGGCCCACAGCTGTTCTGCTCACAGCCCCTCTGTCCCAGTGAGTTGCTGTACTTCAGACCTACCTGGGTATTATTAGCTTTTAAAATTTTTTTTCACCACTTATAATAATTATGTTTCTACAGAAGAACTTTTAATTTAGACCTTAATGATCCTAAACGCTCATGACTTCCTTGAAATATGGAGCCGAGACATTTCCATCTCACCTAAATCATACTAGGAAACTAATTTTCTCTCCCACTGAACTTTCAGAAATATCTCATAATTTAGAATCTGCCATGACTGCAGACATGGTAAGTCTTGAACACAGCAGTTAGTATTTAAAATGGTATATTTTCTGGATTTAGAGAGAATTTTCTTTTTTAAATTTATGTATCCCGTGCAGGGTCTCACTACATAATCCTTCTGTTTTTAGCCTCCCAGCTCTGGGATTACAGGTGTGTGCCACCACACCCGGGCTCGGTCACCGGTTGGGCACGCCTGGGGCTGGGGCTGGGCTGGCATGGTATTTGGTTCCCCAGGATCGAACCCTGCTCCCTGTGCTTGCCTAAGCAGGCGCTTAGTAAGCTGAGCTATCTCGCTGGCAAAGCGAGAGTTTGTTTTGTTTTTTTTTTTTTTTTAAATATTTATGTATGGATTTAGAGAATATGCAAGTTGGTAACTCAAAAAATGAAATATAGAAACAGACAATTAAGAGCTCAATTTTTCCAGGTTGCTAGGAATCAGCCTTCTGACCTTAGAGACCCAGCGGATGTGGGTGACACAACAGCATCTACAGCGAATCTCTTCTGCCTCCGGCTCTGCCTCACAGACAGCGGCCCTCGGGCTGCCGGTCCTCGCGCAGAGCAAGTCGCACCTTGCTCGG